ATTGGACAACTTAAAGCTTGTAAATGAAATGTATTGTTGTCCAAAATGTAAGAACCTGTATTTGGTGAAGTTGTTCATTTTCTGGCACATAATGACTCCATTTTTATCTTTGTTCAAATACTAAATGTTTGCTTATCTTTGATGATAAGAAATAAAAGCATGCTTTTATTTCTTATCAAAATATTTATGCTTTTAATTCTTATCAAAATATATATTGATTATTTTATTTATTTATTCTGTTATTTCTTATTATGTCTTATGTCGGATATATATTTATTCTTTTATTTATATATTTATTCTTTTATTTCTTATGTCGGATATATATATATATATATATATATATATATATATATATATATATTATATTATATTAATTTATTTATTTATTATTTTATTTCTTATTATGTCGGTTTGGTCCTCCATAGTTTACATGTTTTCCTCCCTGCCTGTGTAGGTTCTCTCTGGGTACTCCGGCTTCCTCCCAAAGTCCAAAAGCATGGCTGTCAGGTTAATTGATTTCTGTAAACCCATTCTTCGGTATGGATGTGTGCATCCATGGTTGTTTTGTCCTGTCTGTCTCTGTGTTGCCGGCGACCTGTCCAGGATGTACCCCGCCTCTTGCCAGAGATAGGCACCAGCACCTCTCCTGACCCCACTAGGGACAATGGTGTAAGAAAATGGATCGATGGATCGTCCCAGGTCTTTTGTCAAACTCACAACCTCTCCAGTATTTAAGCACCTCATTGTTAGTCATTAGTTGCCGGTTCGTCTCGTCACTTTTCTCGTTTCTTCCTGGTTTCCTTGTGGTCTTTCCGTGTTGTCTCCAGTTTGTCTTTGTTTTGCATTTTTTTGTTGCCTGGATTTTTTTCATTTTTGTAAGTTTGATTATTCGTTTTTTTTTCATTAAGTATTCTTAAATTAACTATGTCTCTCACCTGGTGCACTTGGGTCCATTTATGATAGGAAATGTTTATGTCCATATCACACAATAATAACACATACAAAACAAAAAATAACCACACTATTTTTCCATCCATCAACTTACCTTTACTCAAAAGTAGACTTTGCTTTGATACATGTTTTTACTTACTTTGTTAAAAGCAGGAAGCGTTTTCTTTCTTGTTCCTGGAAAATACATAATACTGCCTCTTTAATACTGATTAAAAAGTACGAGGTCCTCTGGCAGATTATTTTACCAATAGTGAGTGAAATGATCTGCCTGTGGAACTCATAATTTTTCCATCGATATCAAGTAATTATTGACTTAAAAGCTCCTATATCTTGCTGAGAAGTCTAGAAACTAGACAGAAATTACTTTGTAAGATTTTGTGTTTTGTAGTGTTGGACTTCAACATCCAGGAAACAAGAGGGAAAGCCCTTTCCTCATGTCTTCAGCTCCACTGGGCTGAAAATAGAACAACAACAAAAAAAAGGACACAATTCAGAACCACTCTGTCGTTTGAAAGTGTGATGTGTTCATGAACGGGCTGTAAACGATGAGGGAAGTGAGTACTTTTCCTCAACTAGCTGTCCAGTCAAAGAGAAAAAAAAAGGCAGCAGTCCCAGTGTAACCTTTATTTGCCCCAACATTAGGAGTGTGGATTGCAGATGGAGGGATTTGGCACGCTTCATGAGCACACAATTTACACACACACCCACACACACTGAAGGATTTCTCTCAGGAGGGAAGCTGTTGGTCACAGGCATCCAGCTGAGGAAGTCACCCCATCACCATATGTCAGCTCCGTCCGCGCAAGTCAGCCCATCTTTTCTGTTCCTTACCAGTCACCTTCCGTTTGTCAAACTGTTTTGCAGGTATTTCTCTTCCTTTGTGGAGGAACCGTGCCCTGTCGCTGCCGTGGTAACATCATCTCTGTGCAATCAGACACTCTACGGAGGCAAGACTGCTAATGTGTGCGCAGAAGTAACCGGAGAAGCCGACGTTCTACAACACTGACTCCAGGAGCAACAGTGGAGTTTTGTCTCAGATGCCAATTTACTAGGTGGGAAAACCACAGATATGTTTGTCTGATCCAAGTTTTCCAAATGTAAACCTTCGACCCTGTCACACTACTGCTTATTGGACTCCTGTTTCTATGGAAAATGACACATTTGACCACTTAGAGCCAGTTAATCATTTTTTGCTGTAGATGTTTTTTGGACATGTCCAAGGGATTCTCTGTGGGTGTTGCAGCTTATCTCCAGGACACTCTGTAACTTTAAAAATCCTACAAGACTTAACTCCTCCTCCAGCGGGCAGAAGTGGCTAACTTGGGGCTTTTCTCTCTCGCGACACGTTGCCCGGTCTGTCAAGGTTCTCATTTTCACTCAAGCTTTCATCATATTATATTTTGAACACTATTTTATTTTGGAGATGATCAACTTCTGCTTCTGTTCTCCTTCTTCCCAGAAAATATGCCAGGAGGCTCTCTCAAGGTTTCCCTCCAGTGTATTATAAGCCTGGCGGGCTGCCAGGCTTTACTTCTGGGAGGTAAAGCTGCAGCACATGGAGGACAAGATGGACTCCATGTGCTGCAAGGCACATGGAGGACAAGATGGACTCCATGTGCTGCAAGGCACATGGAGGACAAGATGGACTCCATGTGCTGCAAGACACATGGAGTCCATGGAGGTTTGGATTCAAACCTTTTTGCTGCAAGGCAACAGTGCTACCAACTGCGTCACTGTGCAGCCCTGAACCTACAGTCATCAGCTATTAATGTACTGTAATTAGCATTAGCATTAGCCATATTCTTTAGTGAGTCATTTCCAGCCCACAACCTTTTAAATCCAGCCCTGAATATTATTCAGTAGAGGTGGAATTACAACAAACGGCTTAAAATTGAAAGTTTTTGTTGTTACTGAAGCCAGCAGCAACGTCAGCAACACAAAAACCGGATCCATCTGAAGAAAAGCTGGCAGTTTGCTGATTTTAAAAGCAGCAACTCATTCTCGGGCTTGCAGATGTCTGAGTTCAGGACGAAAACAACAGCAGCTGCATTTAATGGCGTCATCATCCTCGAGGTGTCCCAGCTGCGGGCTGACGTCATCAGGAGTACGTTCCGCACTCTGTCCAGCCTGACTGGCGGCGCTGACGTGAAAACGTCTGGAAGAAGCGTCCAGAGCGCCGCTGGAGAGCCGGTGCTTCCTTTTTTCCATCTCTCTCTCTCTCTTGTCCAATTTGTGTCCAATAATCTGCTCCGGCATCGCTATGGAAACTGAGTGGCCGCAATCAAGCGAGCGGCCGTAAAAGTGGTGCCTGAGCAAAAATAAAGGGATAATAATAATGGAAGGTAAAAGGAGGGGCACGAAAACACTGTTAACTCTGGAGGGGAGATGAGGAGAACGAAATGCAAGTGATTATTGTTTTTTTCTTCTTTTTTTGTGGCATTGTTCGAAATGAAAGACTGGAACAATTAAGTATTGAATTTAAGTGCAATTTAGGATACTCGACAATTTGAGAGTTATTATTTCTGAGACAATAAATGTGAAGCAATCAGTCATCCCTAATAAGGTTTTGATTGGGAGCACTTCAGAGAATAAAGGCTAAATCAGCTTAAATGTCTTTTCATTGGCCGGGATCATTTCAGCCGACCGGGTGTTGCTTTGTGTCGGGCTTTTACAGCCTCCTCAGAGCTAACACGCCTTTCAAACACCTTCTCACACCTCTTAAGAAGAATTACTCCTACTGTGTCATAATGAGACCTGAGGAGGAATGTGTTTTTTGGACCCAACCTCCTCCCCTTCTCCCTCAAATTTCACTTTCTGGGCTTTTTGTGCATGTTTTATTTCATAATTTTTTTTTATGCAATGACAAAGAGCAACGGCCACACCCAAACTGGCAACGAAAGGTTCCAGCATCCCGGGATGCCAGATCGCCATAACTTCACCCTCTCAGACGAACGGGCAGGGCGATCAAATCTGGAGCGACACGTCCCTCGCCACGGTGAGCAGATCGGTGCCGCAGCGGGACAGACTGATGTCCAATGCGCCCCAGAGGGGTGGGTGTGTGTGTGTGTGTGTGTGTGTGTGTGTGTGTGTGTGCAGGAGAGACAGACTGGCAGCTTTCTGCACCCAGCTGAGAAGCAAGGAAGAAGAAAGAGACTGGGGGTGAGTAGATGGAGAGGGAAACGGGGTGATAAAGGTGCAGAGAAGCAAAAGGCAATATATTATGACAGAAGATGGAAGAGAAAAGATAAGAGGGGGAAGAATCGGGTGGGATGAATAAAAAGGTGATGTTCCACCTTAGAAGGCCCATTTCTCCGTATTTATCTGGGAACAGAACCAACATTCTGGTCACTTTAATTTGGATTCAAAGTGTTTTTGAGCTCTTCTAGCTGTAACTCGCTCCGTCAGCCTCAAACTAAACAGAACTTTTTGCTCCGTTCTCATTGTGGAATTGCTCTGCAGTGTCTTCCAGTTTGTCTTCTGTTCATAACATACTAAAAACATGAACTTTTAAACATGCAGTATCTTAATCTGAAGAGCAAATAAGTCCAATATTTGTAGGAAAAGTGTGAGAGAATCATTACTGTTTAGACAAAAGCTAAAACAGTTTTGCACGGTTGTCTTCTCGAAAGAAATTTAACTGTAATTTGACACAATGAAATTGGGACTCTGTCTCTTTACAAAAAAAAAAAACTCCAGGTCTTTCTGAAACTCCGCCTTCAGAAAGTCATCACAACATGGCTCCTCCATTAACCCTTTAGAAGAGTTTTTGCCACCTTTTGATTGAGAAGTGACTTCTATAATGAGTTCAGCAGATGTGTAGTTCCATCAGGTGTTTGCCAATTGCTGCTGGCTAGTCTGAAGGAGCTGAGTCACGGTGGAGAACTTCTCTGTGAGGCCAAAGCTCAGAAGCTTGGAAGCTGCAGCTCTGAGGAGGAGCTTCGTCCTCTAAGGCGGAGCTATGTCCAACCAGCTGTTTTGCACAACCGTATGGTTGCCATGGAGATTAAAGGATTTTTCAAAGGATTTTGATGTAAAGATCAAACAAGTCATTTTTTCATAATACAGTCCCTTTAGAGAATTACTTACTTTAAACAAGTTCATTTTGCTGAAAAGTCTCTCATAAGTTTGTCTTATTTCCAGTACTAAGATATTTGCACTTGAAACTAGACAAGCTTTTGTGTTCAGAATGATTCTACTGGATCTGCAGTGTGTAACAGGACGGCTTAGAACAGAATTTTTACACAAACTTGACAAGATTACTCACCAAACGATGCACTTCAGCTCTCACACTTTGATCTCTATGTCACTCGGTCCTTTAGTCTTTATTGTATTTTTTTTTTTTTTTTTTTGGCCCTCCTTTTTTTTTTAAAAAAGGGCAGTCGGCGGGCCAGATGGATCAGCATCTCTCATCTCTATTTGGTGTGTTTTTTTTCCTCCCCTGCTACCCTCACATGTGGGTGGAGGAGATTGTGTGCGCTTTCATATCCACGGGCGGACATGTGAGTAATCCCAGGATGCAAACATACACGTGTGTGTGTGTGCGTGTGTGTGTGTGTGTGGACGCTGATGCGCTAATGTGACCATTTTTAGGAGGAGTGTGAGTCATTAATCTGAATTGTGTGAGGGAAATGATGCCGGCGGCTTTCGCTCGGGTTCAGGTCTGATGAGACGCGTGTTGAGAAAATGACCAGATTCCCACAGCCCAGTGTAGAGCTGAAGAATCAGCTTTTAGCAAATCCATGTGAACAAATCATATATTTTACTCATCTTAATGTGGCATTGGATTAATATTACGTGTAGATACACATCTAACCTTTAATAAAACGCAACATCCTAGAATTTACATTGGATAGATTTTTTTTTTAAAATTGCACGTATAGATGCTGACAGGTTCAAACAACATGCTCTGTTATAAGTGACTTGACCCGTAAGCGAAATTAGTTAATATGACTACATGTCCGCAGAATGATTGATTTTCTTCACAGACAGTTAATATTTGGTCCCTTCCCGCTTTTATGGCTGACTGAGCCGTCGTTGGAGCAGAATCTCAGCATGTGAGATGTAGAAGATCAACAGAAGGATGTCGGTGACATGAACGCACCGACAGGACAGCGCGGCGTTGAACATGGATTTCTGTTGTTTCAGCTACTAGTAGGTCTGTTGAATCAAACGATTGTTAAAGGAGCCGTAGCCAGGAAAATCGACTTTTTTTAGCTTTACCTCATAATAACGTTATTCCCTCATCAAAAACACACCTGGAGTGTTGCCTTGATTCTTTCATAAATGTCTGAGAAATCCTTTAATCTCCCGTGGCAACCATTCAGCTGTGCAAAACGTCCAGATGGACATAGCTCCGCCTTCAAGGACGAAGCTCCTCCTCAGAGCTGCACAAAACAGCCCTCCCACACTCAGCTCCTTCGGACTAGCCGGCAGCAATTAGCAAACACCTGGTGGAACTGCTGAGCTCATCATACGAGCTACTTGTCAGAGCATTGCTGGAGAAAACGTTATTAAAGAGGAGCCATGTTGTGATGACTTCCTGAAGGCAGAGTTTCAGAAACAGCAGGAGTTTCTTAAAGAGACAGAGGCATTAAATTACAAAGTAAAATTCCTTTTAACTCACATTGAGCATTTTTTATAACAACTGAATGTAACGTAATTACTTTATTGTGTTATAAAATGGCACTATGTCCCTGGAAAGCAAATACTGCTGTCTCTTTAAAATAATTTCAATGTACTTGTTGATGAAAACGTTGGCGGACACAATAGGGAAGCTCTGCTTGCAGCAATTTCTGTTGAAACCAGAAGTTTATAGTTTATATATGGTGATTCTAGCCGACCTAAAACAAGAGAAGTTTGGTCTGATTTGCCCATAATGCAGGGAGAAAATAAAAGGTGTTTTTTCATTTGGTGTATGGAAGCTTCTGGTTTCAACTGTAGGTGTGAAGCATGCCTCCAAAAACATGTCAGCGTTATTCATGTTGGAGAGACGTGTGAATGAGTAAAAAAGATGAAAATGATTCATCTGTTTTCTGCTTCCCTCCCCTCTCTTCTCTTTTCTGAACATTCAAAGGGAATCCTGAGATCCTCCATGTTCATCCGAGGTTCTTTTCTCTCTTTTTAAATTTTTTTTATCTGTCTTCCTTTTTCTCACTCACACATGCAAAGACACAAGTTCAAACATGTCCAAATATCCACCGAAACACCAAAGGTGCATCAGTCACACAACTTCCTGTCAGAAAGCAAACAGCTCCATGCATAATTCATAGAGAACAGACTCTACATTATTCATATTTTGATGTATGGTTATGTAAGCCTCCGAGTTATCCTCCTCAACACACACACACACAAAGCTATTTGTGTGCAAATGTTTTCTTTATTTCTACCTATCTGCATTTGTCAGACTGTGCGTCCTGGTAAATCGCTCATTTCATGTCTTCTGGTTTTAAAAATAGATTAAAGCTAGTGGTTTGTTGTGGTTACAGTTGGTTGCTAAGCAGGACATCATGAGTCGTTTCAAAGAAATCCCCCCAAAAACGCAAACAGCGTTTCAGAGTAAAGAGCTGCGGTAGCCGCTAGTTCCCATCTACGACGGAGGATTAGGGCGATGCTAAGAAAGTAAAAACAATAAAGTTACGAGAACAAAGTCATAACATTACTGGGATAAAGTCGTATAAGAATAAAGTCGAAATAATAAGAGAATAAAGTTGTGGTATTGTTTTTTTTTTTTTTTTACTTCATTCTCATGTTATTTCAAATGTGTTCTTGCAATTTTTACAACTTTATTCTTGTAATTTTACTCCTTTATTTTTCATTTGTTTCTTGGTATGGCTCAAATACTCCATCTATGACAGAATTCATAGAAATGATTTTTTTAGCTGACAGGCTCATTATTTAGATGCATATCAGTTTCCATAAGCCATCAATCATCCTTTATTCTCATATATTGTTTTTTTTTATGTTTTTATTCATTGTTGCTTTGTGGTTCAGTCTAAAGGACCTTGTGTTTGTTCATGTCCAAAATGAGAAATGTAAATATATATATACTGCTCAAAAAATAAAGGGAACATTTCACTTTAATTTTGTGTGTGGCTCCAAATCCAGGCCTCCATTGGTTAATAAATTTGATTTCTATTGATGATTTTTGTGTGATTTTGTTGTCAGCACATTCAACTTTGTACAGAACAAAGTATTCAATGAGAATATTTCATTCATTCAGATCTAGGATGTGTTATTTGAGTGTTCCCTTTATTTTTTTGAGCAGTGTATATATGTTCTGTTTAGAGTTAGTTTTAGTAAATTCCTCCAACAAACTCACATCTTCAGTGTTTCATCAAATTCCAAACTGCTCTGTAGAGTCCGAGTTGCTTCCCTCAGTTTATTATTATTATTATTTATTATGGCTGTAGATTATTTCAGCACTGTATTGACTGAGGAGAACCTGCCATAAGTATTGAGTTATAATATGTGTTTTTTGATTGGTATCACAAGAAAAATAAAACACTTCCTTCTGTTTGCCGCCTGCAGACGGCCATGTTTATCTCCCTTTACCTCCCCGGCTACAAACGCACGTGCGTTTGCTCGTCTGCGGCTTCATTAAACAGGAAGCCGGCTTCATTATTAATTTCCTGTCTTAATGTCAGCAAGATGGATGAGAGCGATTAGGTGTTACAGAGACAAACACAACAAAACAGATCAAGGTTGTTGTTTTTTTTTTGTCCCACCCCCCATCTCTCTGTAGCGTTGCCTCGAATTGATTCATCGCTGCCTGGGACTCTGGATGTCTGCGGCTGATAAAAAGGTCATTTTCTGTACAGATGGTGTTGGTGAGCAGAAAGATGACGAGAACCAACAGGGCTATGAAATCACACACCCGGTGAAATATGTGCAAGGTTATGATCTGCCAAAACGACGGCTGAATTACTGTTGTTGCACAACATGCCACAAACGGTGATGCATGAATTATTTGGCAACATATGTGTTTGTGAAAATGTAAACGTCAACATGTGTTTAACAAAACTCGTAAAATAACATGTTATTTGAATATAAATTTCTGAAGTCAGGATTATCCCCTTTTTTATGGTGCAGGATCAAGTCCCACTGCAAAGCTGCAGCTGTTAATGTAAGTTCACTCTTCATTCACGTATTTTGCGGAAAGCCATCTTAACTTTTCCACGAATCTGAACCAATCACCTCGTCTTTTTCTCTATTTCCTCCGTTTCTGACTCAACTGAATTTTGACCAATCCGCTTGGTTCATTTCTAATTTAACTTCCTGTTTCACGACGTGTCTTGCTACATGTTCAAAGCTTGTGTCACGCTAAATTCTAACATTTGCCTTTTTTTTTTTTACTTTTTACCAAAACAGTTTTAAGATGTTCATGTAGGATTTGCTTATCCTGTAAATAGTTCATGAAATTCTTCATGTAGGATTTGCTTATCCTGTAAATAGTTCATGAAATTCTTCATTTGCACTTTGACCTCTCTTCAGGACATGCATTTAATTTTATACAGGTGTTATTTCAAAAGGTGCTCAAAAACATTATTAGTGCTTTAGATACTGACTACGTTAAGGCTTTATCTTTTTCAGGAATGATATTATGAGCAGCGATTTCAATGATTTTGTAAGTTATGCTATGCCAGAAATGAAGCTTTAAAAAAATGTTGCAACTTTTTGAAAATGGTGCCACAAAATCATTCATTTTAGGTCGTTTTGACCTAAAATGAATGATTTTGTGATTGTTTTAATCACAACCCCCCCCCACCAAAAAAAAAAAAAACAGCAACATCATGGAGGGACTGTTTATTCATCTTCAGATTTCAGAACATGGGCTAAAACTGTCAGGTCAAAGGTTTTTGCAGCCAAGAAAAACACAATTAAAATTGGCTTTGAATCCAATTATTATGGGACCAACTGAACAAGAAATAAAAAAATATGCTTAATCTAAGCAATAAGAAAAAGTTTCAAAGTCTCCATCTGCATCAACCACTTGTACTGAACAAAATTTGCGTCATTCAATTGTAGTTGCGGGTCACAAAATCAGACGAAATGTATGACTTAATGTAATGTAAAGTGCTTTGGAGCCCTCTGGACTGGATGAAGCAATGTGTAAGTAAAGCTCATTTTAGGGTACGTTCAAGAAAACTACATAAAAAATGTCAACCTGACCTGATGATTCGTAGAAACGTGTGGAAGCTTTATGTCAGTAGAGGTTGTGCTTTGTCCATTACCTCATCGTAATAAATCACAACACATTTAAGCTGATAACATTTTTGCAGTGTGAACTGACTGGAAAACACACACAACCTGTGGACAGTTCTAACATCCAGAGGACACAGAGGCTGCAAAGTCATTACCAAGCACAGCATCCCTCTGTTTGTCTTCACCCGCCTCCTCCATGCTGGTGCACATAGAGCGATGCAGATCTGTCAGGTGCTTGAACAAAACTGCAGATGCTCCCATCCTTTTTTAGTTTTGTCCATTTATCTTCCCATGTCAAACAGAGCTAAGCCAATTGTTCAGCTTTCAACTGCAGGCATACCATATTTAGCTCAGGGCTTGCACTCTGTTTTTTGTTTTTTTTGTTTTTTTTGTTTAACTATTGATTTGTGCCCAATTCATGAATGTTTTCTTTTGTTGCCTCCTTTATTTGTTAGCTCATGCTATAACTTTGCAGGCATCTCTAAGGTTACAGGTAGTATGAGGACAACACATTTTAATGCCAACATAGAAGGTTCTAAGAAGAATAGAATAAATTGCAGCTGACAGTTTGGTGCATCCAGCTATTTTCAAAGTCATGGTAATGATGTGAGTCTTGAGATTGTTGTTAGAGTGTCTAAAAAGATTGTGTGAGAGAAAAAAGAGATAAACTAATATAAATTCCAGTCAAACATAGTCTGAGTTTGTTTTAAAATGCTGTTTTCATATGATAGATTGGCTTAAGAAGGTGAATTAGTTGTTCGACCTGGCTATATGTGAAAAATGATTTTGATATATGACAACGCTTCCTCCAAAAAGCAGGAAACGGACTACAGCGCACGGCATTCTGGGTAAATGCAACCGAAACAAACGCGCGATTCTTAGCGCTAGCGTGAGAAATTGCTAGTGGTCAGAAGACCACTAGCAATTTATGTGTGGATAGAAATCAAAGACAAAATAGAAATTCCACAACCACTAAAATCCCGCGGTACTCCATCTTTGTTTACATTTCGTGACGAAGGAAGTTTTGCTCAGTGTCTGTTTTTTAGAGGGCTTCATGTCTTCTTCTTGTTTTGTTTCATGGCGGCAGGCGGACCAACTGTGGTGGTGCATTACCGCCACCTACTGAACTGGAATGTGGACAGAAGATAAACTGGGAAAAAGAAACAGTTAAATCAACTTAATAGTTCAACCTCTTTATAATAAACTAAATTATTTCCATTAAGTTTGTATTTTTCAGAAATAATTGTTATTTCTGAAAAATACAAACTTAATATTTTTTTTTACTTTATTTACATCACAACCAAAACTGTTATCAATTGTAAATTTAACATTCATTTTGTCTGTTTTATTTTGGAACTGCCTTCTTTCTGATTCATGAGCTGAACAAACGGTAACATGCTGAACCTTTTCAGGTAAATTAAACTTCTCACAAAGCCCGGCTGCATGTTTACAATTTACTTTTAGAGATACATCAAGGCCTGTATGTCCTATTCTGATATGTAAATATTGATTCTACTTTTCTTGTATCTTCTAAATTTTGCTGAACGTGGTTCTTGGTATAGCTCCCCCACAGGCGAGGAGGGGAACAGATTTTATAAAGGGTTTGGTTGGTTTGGCACAGTGCAGTTTGAAAGTGAACCACTCCAGCTGAAAATGTAGCGAATGTTTTAATTTTGGTCCCCAGTCAAGCCGAATCTACCAGACTGTCAGGTGTGAAAACACTCTGGAAGATCTTAAACAACATATTGCTGCTATCCCTGCTCTACATTTGTGAAGGTTGTGAAAAAAGAAGAAGAGGGTTCATGATCCATCTCCTGACATCCTGACGTCAAATCAATACTCAGTGAACCAGAGCAAAGCCCTCCTATTATTCTGAACCTCCTTTTTCTTTCCTTACACCTGACTTGGTATTATGATCAATCTTGCTTCTTAATCTCCTCTCTTTATCCTCGTTTGCTTTGACCTTCCGCCCACCGTCTTGTTCCTGTGAACGGGCCGATATCCGTCATTTTCTGATGGTTTTTGACAGGACACACTCGTTAGTAATCGGACAGCAGATCTGATTCTGGTTTTCTGCTGTTTTTTTTCTTTTTAAACGCAAACCTTCAAACGTAATGTTAAGTAGATTTGCAACTGGTTTCTGTATATATTTGTATATATTAAAAATGATGTCTCAAAAACACTTTTAATTACCAGTAAATTCACTTTGAAAAAAAAAAAGTAGTCAGTTCTATTTATTTCAAAGCATTTGTCCTTTTCAGTGGCATGAAATTACTTTAATGAACCTTTGGAGCCTCACTTTAAGGTTTAATATGATTTTTTTCGAATATCTAATTTATAGTTTCTGATTCTTTCGTCTTTTGTGTGATTTTAATCCGTGGTTAAATTGACCAAATTCCTAGATCTCATATGAGCTTCAGCTTTGTTCGTCCACCTCAGTGTGTTGGTGCTTGATGAGGCTCAAAAAAAGAGGAACATATTATTCAGCACATCAAGTTCTTTCATGCTCTTCTCTTTTGAAATAGTCTGTGTTTCGGACAAAAGCTGCTAAATCCAATGTTCTATTCGCTCCGGCTGTCACAGTTTCTCTTCATTTTTTTCCCATACAGGTACATCTCAAAAGATTTTACTATCGTAAAAAAAGAGGGAAAAACAACTTGAATATTTTTCAGAAAGTGAAACTCATATAATGTATGCATCACAGATAGATGGAAATGTTGTAAAGGTCATTATTATATATGTTTATCATGTTTATTCAGTTAAAAATGTTAACTATGAAAAA